ATCATGTATTTACAAACATTACCAAATTAAGTTAAACATCATCGAAATCTCGATTAAGGTAAGCTTTTTTTTTCACTTTATAGATAGATAATCCCATCATGGTTTCAACCACATCCAACCAAATAGCATATATGCAAGATGTGTGGCTCGTAAATTTTAGTGGAAACTCGTTTTGTTGGATGGAGGAATAAGTTTCAAAGCAATCAATTAAATTCATCAACTAAAAGAAGAAACATTTTTCTTTAAAGATTAGGATTTGTTTTTTAAAGTCAAACGATCACTTAATTGATCCTCTTATAAGTACAGTGGATCAGAGGGAAATCTTTTGTTCTAAGCTTCATTAATTAGCTAATATATATATATATATATCTTTAATCTCCGGGCACAACTTAATTTGCATACGCAATCCCACACAAATGATCGATCATATTGACATAACATCACATGATAATTGGTACTTATATACAAAGTTAATTAATACCTCGAGTTTGATTAAAGTGGTCATTACCGTACCGTCATTATATGAAAAGATGAGCTTAAACTAGCCTTAACCACATACTTTTCATGTTTATTTAAAAAAATTAAAGATTTATTAATGGAAGTCATTAATGCTCAGGGACAATGTAGAATCTAGCTGCATGGCTATTAATTTAATTAAGCTCATGTAGTCCAAAGTACATAATACAATCACAAGCTGGAATTTGAAGGCATGTGAAAATTATTACGTTTACCCCCTCTTCAAAAAACTTATTGGCAAAAGATACTGGGTTGATTTGTGGGGTATGCGATATTATTGTACTAGAATGGGCTCCAATATTTATGGTAGGCTGATATTGTCTGATACATGATATCGTGATAATTTATGAAAGACTTAAACCTTTCTTAACTTATGGTGCTACAAAACAAATAACTTTATGTATAAGTATCATACTGTTTGGGTTGTGAACTGAAGGATCTTTTTACGTGTAGCATTTGGTCCTTGATGTGATATTAAGTATGTAGGTTAAATAATCTAACAAGGCAAATTAAAAATATAGGGTGGACATGGGATATTCATTGAGAAAAGCATAAAGAAAGAGGTTAATTGTCCAATCGTATAACTCCTTTTCTTTTGGGGGAAAGGGCCTTCGCCAAAAACATAGAGGTCAGTTTGCAACCTAGGGAGCCTCTAAGAAGTTGATAGTGGAGTGAGTCAAAGCACATGCAAGGTAGTGACAAAGCTCAATTAGTGCTGTGCCTAGAGCATGTACCTATTGGCTCTACATGTGATTAATGGTTAGTTTGCTGTGGATGGAGATTGCTCAGAGAACTATGGGTAAAAATCAAGCAAGGTGTTCTGAACCTTACTTGCGTAACGTGTGAGTTCAGAGATTTTGCCTCGCTTTTTTGTATGGTTCAGAATAACCCGCTCGCACGATAGTATTCCCATTACAAAGAAACCAAAGTACCCGTTGACTAAGCGGGAAGAGGATAATCACTTTTTTTGCTATTTTTCGGTTTATTGGATTTTTGAAAGTTTCATAATTAGCTTGAAAAAAAAAACAGTTGGAAGATTAAAAAAGAGGATACCAAATCCAAGGAGTAAATAAACAAATCTTTTAACCGTTTTCTTTTTTTTTAGGGTAAAGCATGCCTATATTTGACGCAAAATAGTGAGTTTAGTCTAAATACATTTTCTTTTCTCCTGCGAGTAGTAGCACAGTCCCAATTTCTTCTCATAATTGCCCCTCTTCATTTATGAGCCTACCCACAGCCCATATGAACATATAAGGAGGAGAGTTGTCATTTTAGATGGATGTGATGTATAAAAGCCAAAAGCAGGGGGGGTCTGCTTTAAGGTTGAATCAGAGCCAGAGGCTTTTTAGTTGTACTTGTGTATCACTTTATCCGCACGCTATTTTCCCACATACATATCACACCTTTGAAAATTTTGAAATTGTTGACGAAAGATGTTTCCAACATTTGCTTAATTAGCTCAAACTAAGCACATGGCTCAACTCAAAGGTGAGCTAAATGCCATGCAGAAAAAAGTCATCACATAAGATGTTTCAGAATCTCTTGGTAAGTGAGAGATCATGCCTATAGGCTTAAATACCAAATAAATTCAAAGAGCCTACCTACCATTTTTGCAGCCTTTGTGATGTGTATTATTGTATTAAGCAAACAAGTTATTATGAGTCTATGATCAACTTTGTGATGTAGTAATTATAAGGTTTAGATGGCTTGATGATGCTTTACGTCATCGGTGTATGTTCTGTAAATTTAATAAAATGCATAAGGTCGCATCCTCTTATGTAGGACACCGATAAATTTTCGAGATTTTATTGTTTTTCAGCTGATGATGTTTTACATGCATGGACCTTATTTTTTCACAAGTAAAATAAAATCAACAACACACATCCCCTACATAATCAACACCCAGATATCAGCCATTAGTGTGCCACTTAATTGTCAGAATTACCTTATCTTAATATTTATTTATTTTTATTATTTTTCTACTCTCATCCTAAGATTCTATCATTATATCGGAGAAACCCTTAACCAAACCTTATCCTCTGCTGATGCAGCACCTTATCGTTACTTATACAATATTACTAGTAGCACCTACTTAGGTGAACTAAAAATGCTTGACCTTCAAACAAGAAAAAACAGAAAATAGGGAGCTTGATCTGAGCAAGTCATCATGTGGCTCAATTGATTAGGTTTCTCTGCTCATCAAGAAAAGCGACAGAGGAAAGCAAAATATAAAGAAGAAAAGGTGGTTGAGGAGAAATAAATAAAGCAAAAAAAAATCCTCCATTCATTATGCATGCTCATACTCATGCTCATGCTGTTGATGCTGCTGCTGAGTCATTGTAATTGGAGTGTCGGCCCCTTCCTCTTGACTAGAAGCACGCTCACGTGCAGAGTCTGCTGCAGCTTCAGTTTGGTACAGTTTCTCTGACAAAATAACAGTTGGGTTCCATTGGGTGTAGCTGTGTAAGTGGACAAGATAAATCCTACAGAGGGTCCCTCCATAAAAAATTCCCCAATAAAAAAAATCACTTATAAAGAAGAAGAATATGACCCTGTGATCAGTGATTACTATCACTTTTAAATCAATACAATCAGTATACGAAATACAATCGATAAGAAACTAGTATGAATGGCTAAAATAACAGTGCAAATTAATTACTGAGCCAGCTTAATAATCAACTTCAAAACTCGATAGTGGAGCACTAGCTGCATTCTGCTTTCTCCTTATGCAATTTTTGTTTCAGTTATAATAAATCTGCATAAACGAGAGAGAAATACAATAGAGATTAGACGGTTGTTAAATATGACCTACAATGTTATTTTGTTCCTCTAGTTATGGAAATATATCGCCACATCCATCTTATGAACATACATCCATCTGATATAATGTGTAGCCTTGTAGTACTGGTGATGTGAGATTACACCAACGATAACAACAACAAAATGTTTATCCCAAAATATTTTGGGTTGGTACATGAATTATATTCCTTCATTCAGTTAAGGGTTATCTCCTTGGTTAAGTTGATCACAGGGTGGGGGGCATGAATTATATTCTTCTATTCACTTGTGAGGCGGTATTTGATCACAGGGTGAGGTAACACTCAAAATAATTTCCTTAAGAATTTCATATGTATAGATATTTGACAAAGTTTTATGCTGATTTTCGGTTTGCAAGCATAAACATTAGAGATAACAATGAAAAAGTCTGATAAAGTAGGGCTGGGTGCTGAAAAATCAAAGGGCTCTAATGTTTGAAATATTGCTTGTTAGGAAGAAAAGAAGGCGCCTGTGCTACATCTATACAACAAAGAATAAAAATATTGATAATATCCATTTTTCCATTTCTGATCGGATTTACGTTTCTCAAGAAAAAAGTAAGGAGGGGGAAAAAAAGATTTCAAACTTTCCAACTTTCTTTGTATGTTGACTTAGAGAGGCTTTCTTTTTTCCCTTTTTCCTTTTTTCCTTGAAGAAACATATGTACATGTTAATGATAGAATGAATCATTTTGGATGTTCATGTCAATTGCACAAACTCCCCAGCATGCAGCTTTTCTATCATCAGTCATCACCATGGAACAACAGGGAAGTTCCAATTTTGGTGCGCAACTGAACTCGATCTTATAGATAGCAGTGTTTTCAAAGGCGCGCGCCTCATGGCGCCTCATGCGCCTTACGATGCGGGGCGGTGACAAAGCGCCCCACATCTGATGCAGCAGTGCATTATGCGCCTCGCGTACATCTTTACTTTATGCAGGATGCATGTAGTATACATCCTCATATAGTTTTGTTTGTTAACATTTCAATCGAGTCTTTATACTTGATGTTGTGAACCGAAGTGGACGTGGGGACCACCCACGTGAGAGAAGAGAAACCCAGCAGCTCCGTGTGAAGAGATTTTCCGCATGAACCTCGGAAATAGCCAGGCCCACCCGAATTTGCTATAGACTATATATATATCAACATAGTACTTATCTAGGGTTTAGTGCAAGGGCAGTTTTGTTTTGTTCTCTTTTGCGGCTGAGGCAGAGGGAAAAAGGTGCGGGAGTTTTCTTTTGGGATTTTTGGTTTTGAGCAGTCCCCTTTATTTAGGGTTTTTGTATCTCCCTTTTGAGAGTTTTGTGTGAGGGATTTGAGAGTTTGTGTGGGGGTTTTATTTGTGAGATTCTTGTGTAAACCCTATTTGTATTCTCTCCCTCTATTAGTAGATCTCCCCCCTCCTTGCCCCGTGGACGTAGGCAATTTGCCGAACCACGTTAAAATTGGTTGTACTGCTTTTGTGTGATTTGTAATAGCTTTTAGGGTCCCTCGACGCGCAGTCCTAGAGCTGACGAGAGGAAGAGCTAATATCCTACTTTGATAGGATATAGGCTTCAGATTCTTGTTCCCTTTGAGAAACAAAAATTCTTATTGCGATCTGACTCTCTTGTTGTGCTGCCGAAGTGCTGCCGAAATTTCCGCTGCGCGCAACAAGTGGTATCAGAGACCAGATTTCATATCTAGGGTGTTTTTGGTGGAGGAAGATTTTGTGTGAAGCTTGGTTCTTGGAGTTCTAGGCTTCGGTGGAGATAGCATTAGGAGTTGCCGTTGGAGATTTCGCTTTCCTCGTGTGGTTAGGAAATCTATTTGGAATCTGATCTAGGGTTCAGTTGGGTGATTCCTAATTTCTATCAAATTTGTTCTTTCTCTACAATTTTGGAGTTAGTTTGCAATGGGAGAAGAAGGTGAAAGCAGCAAATCGATGGCGGGTACAATACAAGTTGGTTTTCAGAACACTAAAATTAGTGTGGTGAAGTATGACGGCAAAATCAACTTTGGTTTGTGGATGAGCGACGTACAGGATGCGCTCAATGCTCAGAATTTGGAAGAGACCATCATGGTCCACGAGAGGCCACCTAAATATGAAGAGGCGGTATGGGATAAGATGAATAGGAACGCGTGTGAAGTATGATGTGATTGGGGTGACGTCTGCGATGAAGATGTGGGAAATTCTCAACAATAAGTACCTTACGAAGAGTGTTGAGAACCGGTTGCACTTGCTGCGTAGGTTATTCAGATTCCAGATGTCCAGAGGCACCTCGCTTGCGGCTCATGTGAACAACTATACGAAGTTGTTGTCGGACTTGGCGAATGTTGATGAGAAGATATCGGATGAGTACAAGGCGATTATTTTGTTGGGCTCCTTACCGGATGAGGAGTATGATACATTCGTGGTATGATACCTTCGTGCTCACTTTGTTGAACGGGAGATCTTCTATCAGCTATAGTGAAGTGACTAACGCTTTGACGAACTACGATTTGAGGAGGAAGGACAAGGAGACTTCCCGCGCTAGTACTTCAGGAGAGGCATTGTCGACGAGAGGTAGAAGCCCATATCCGAAAGGTGGTAACAGAGGGAGGTCAAAGTCTAGAGGCCGCCACCAATTAACAAAGAACCAATGTGCATTCTGCAAGGAGCAGGGACATTGGAAGAGAGACTGCCCGAAGCTCAAGGAGAAAGAGAATGGCAAGAAAAAGGGCCCGAAGGCCAATGAGGTGAACATTGCGAAAGGCGATGATTCCGATGATTCGTGCTTTTCTCTACTGATTACTCCGGAGGTGAACCATGTGGATGCATCAGATTGGATGCTTGATTCCGGCGCTACCTTTCATGTGACCCCTAGGCGAGACTGGTTTGCATCTTTTGAGAAAGTCGACGGGGGCGTTGTTGTCATGGGAAATGATCAATCCTGTGGCGTTTGTGGGATAGGTACCGTGCGGATTAGGATGCACGATGGAGTAGTCCGTGAGTTGAAGGAGGTGAGATTTGTTCCTCAACTGAAGAAAAATCTTATCTCAGTTGGAGCTTTGGAGGCGAAGGGATTCAAGGTGACTTTCGAAAACGCTGTAGCGAAGGTTACTAAGGGATCATTGGTGGTGATGAGGGGAGTCCGCAATCGGAATTTGTATTATCTGAAGGGAAGCACCGAGATTGGCCAGGTTGCTTCGGCTATTTCAGAAGCGGACATGAGCAGACTTTGGCACTATAGATTGGGGCACACAGGTGAAAAGTCACTGCAGGCATTGTGCAAGCAGGGGCTATTGAAGGGAGCCAAGAGTGGGAAGATTGAGTTCTGTGAGCACTGTGTTCTTGGCAAGAAGACGAAGGTGAAGTTCGGGACTGCCATTCATCAGACGAGGGGCATCCTGGATTACGTGCACACAGACGTTTGGGGTCCCACCAAGACTGCATCACTTGGTGGTCGACATTGGTTCGTCACTTTTGTAGATGACTATTCTAGGCGTTGTTGGGTGTACACCATGACGAAGAAGAGTGAAGTCCTAGATTTGTTTGTGGAGTGGAAGAAGAGATTGGAACTGCAGACTGGGAGAAAGATCAAGACGTTGCGATCCGACAACGGTGGTGAGTATACTTCTGACCCCTTTCAGCAGCTATGTCGAGACGAGGGCATAGAGAGACACTTCACAGTTAGTCATACACCGCAGCAAAATGGGGTGGCAGAGAGGTTGAATCGGTCTTTACTGGAGAAGATCCGATGCTTATTGTCGCAGAGTGGTTTGGAGAAGATCTTTTGGGCTGAGGCACTTACATATGCGAGCCACCTCATTAATGGACCAGATCTGAGTGCCCCGGTGGTCCACGGATATCAACATCCCCGTCACAGGCCAAAGACCCACGCAAGCAAGAGATGACAAACAGATCTTGCGTTTGTTTGAAAGGAGTTGTATCTGTTTTGTTTTCATTGTGTACCGGTCTTATAAAAAGGCTATCTTTTTATTTCATTGTAACGATCAAAGTTGTAATGAATGCAGCAATGAATACAGCAACTTTTTCCGCAAACAAGCTGGCGACCACAGTGGGAGCCAACGGCATCGCAACCGACGCCGTCGTGACGCATGGATCATCCCAGTAAAAGTATTTTACTTGGGAGAGAAAACGGGATCTATCCTGTTTGGACCAATGAGAAGGGATCTGGTTCATGACTATGTAATTCACAATGTCAGCGAACCATGGAACAAATTGGATTTTTAGGAGTTGTTCATCAGGGAAATGCTCATTGATTGGAACGGTTGATGTTGGTGCATTTGGGAGTTGAGAGAGGTGATCTGCTACGGGGTTCTCTGTTCCCCTTCTGTCAAGAATTTGAATGTCAAACTCTTGAAGAAGGAGAATCCATCTAATGAGCCGTGCTTTAGCATCCTTTTTGGTCAAAAGATACTTTAGTGCAGCATGATCTGTGAAAACTTTGGTTAAAGAACCGATGAGGTAGGACCTGAATTTTTCTAAGGCAAAGACTACAGCTAAAAACTCTTTCTCTGTGACAGAGTAGTTTTGCTGGGTATCATTCAGAGTCCTACTGGCATAATAGATCACATGCGATTTTCTATCAAACCGTTGTCCTAAAACAGCACCGATTGCAGAATTAGATGCATCACACATCAGTTCGAAGGGTAAGGTCCAGTCCGGTGCATGAATGATAGGACCTGTGGTTAGCTCCTTTTTCAGATATTCGAAAGCTTTGAGACAGTCGGGGGAGAAGACAAATGATGTATCCTTGGCTAAGAGATTGGTCAAGGGTCTAGCAATTTTGTTGAAATCCTTGATGAAACGTCGGTAAAAACCAGCATGACCAAGAAACGATCTGACATCTTTGACAGTTTTGGGAGGAGGGAGATTGGAAATGAGAACTACCTTAGCTTTGTCCACTTCGATTCCCCTATTGGAAACTACATGTCCTAAGACAATGCCTTGTTTGACCATGAAATGACATTTCTCCCAATTGAGAGTCAGATTTTTCTCCCTACACCGCTCTAGGACCAATTTAAGATGATGCAAACATTGAGAAAATATGTCACCAAAAATGGAAAAGTCATCCATGAAAATTTCAAGAAATCGCTCTACCATGTCGGAAAAAATACTGATCATGCAACGTTGGAATGTGGCCGGTGCATTGTACAGTAGGGCTGAGCATGGTTCGGTCCAAACCGAAAAAACCGACCGAACCGACCCGAACCGACCCGAAAAATTCGGTTTTATGACCAGGGCGGTTCGAGTCGGGTTGAAAACTTTTCAACCCGAACCGACCCGAACCGACCGAATACCGAACTCAATAGTGCAAATCCATTCTGAATCTCAAACCCGACCCGTCACCTGTCCTAAAGAGTCGAAACACAAACCCTAAACTCAATTCCCAGCCGCCGCTGATTCATTTCCTCTCTCTCTCTCTCTGCTCCCCATTATTACTCAGCTCAAGCCCTAATCTATGCCCCTCCCTCACGCTCTCCATCCTCCTCTTCTTCGGCCTGGGTTCCGCGATCTCTCCACAGCCCCGGCCGCTACTATAAAGGACGTCGAGGTTGGGAATGGATACCATCATCCTTTTTAATCTCGGTCGTGTCGGCTTCCCGTCTTCCTCTCTACAACAAACTCAATCCAACAACCAAGCTTTCTCCATCTCAAGATTTCCCTTCTTGCTTCTCTCTTTGAACTTTTTTCAGACATCAGTGTAGACGATGGAGCCCAAATCTGAAGCTTTGCAGTGCATCGCGAGAATCTCTGCTCACTTGAACCCCTCTAACCTTCAGGTCAATTTTCAATCCTCTACAACTAGACTGATTTTCTCTTAATTCTCGATGTTTCTGCACTCTTCGGTTCTGGGTTTTTCTTGGTTTTCGATTTTATGCTTGGTCTCTGATAAAAAGTTGGGATATTGGTAGGGGTCCATAAAGTAATAGAGGAGGACTAGTCAATTTTAGTCCAGGTACCGAGTTTAGGGCTTCTGCTTGATTTTATTACTGACTTTATTTTGATCATGAATGGTCTTAATTTATTAGGTTCTTTCTTCAGGGCAGCTTTCAGGGCTCTTTTTGGGAGCTTGGATTTGGTTCTTATGACTTAAAAACTGTATTTCTTGGTTTATTTATTGTGCCAATGGTTAGAGTTAGGGAGGGTTTTGGGCAGGGGAAGATCATCAATACTGAAAAGGAAGAGTTTTAATCAAGGTATAAATTACAGTTTTCAAGGATGTTTATGCATCTGCATGAGTAGCTAGAGGTATAGTTTGACTTTTATCCATGATTTATTCAGTTTTTTTTCATCTAAAACCGAACAAACCGAATCGAACCGCACCGAACCGATTTGCAAAAGTTCGGTTCGGTTTTGAATAATGGGCAGTTCGGTTCGGTTGTTCAAAATTTGCTAAAAACCGACCCGAACCGAACCGTGCACACCCCTACCTTTGGGAGCTCGTTTGAAGCTTTCAGCTGGTCTTTCACCGAAGTCAGTTGAAGATCGTGAGTTGATGTCGAAGACTCCATATGCGAGCGCGGTTGGGAGCTTGATGTACGCGATGGTATGTACGAGACCAGATTTGTCACAGGCGGTAAGCATGGTATCGAGATACATGCACGATCCAGGAGTGGGTCATTGGGACGCCGTGAAATGGATTTTGAGGTACATTCTAGGTACACTCAATGTTGGTTTAATTTATGAACGGGACACTACAGGTGAGCAATTGTGCATTGGTTATGTTGATTCGGATTATGCCGGGGATTTGGATAAGCGTCGGTCTACAACAGGGTATGTGTTTACTTTGACTCGTGCGCCGGTGTGTTGGAGATGCACCTTACAGTCGACGGTGGCTTTGTCTACGACGGAGGCAGAGTATATGGCAGTTACGGAGGCTGTGAAGGAAGCTATTTGGCTTCGAGGACTTTTGGAGGAACTTGGTATATCGCAGAGGTCCGTCACTATTCATTGTGATAGCATGAGTGCTATCTATTTGGCGAAGAATCAGGTTTTTCATGCGAGGACGAAGCACATTGACGTTCGTTATCACTTCGTTCGAGATGTTCTTGAAGATGGCGATGTGGAAATTATGAAAGTCCACACGAAGGATAATCCGGCGGATATGCTCACTAAGGTGGTTCCGAGCAACAAGTTTGATCATTGTCGAAACTTGTTGCATATTCGTGATTGTTGAGGCCGTTGACGGCCATTTGGATGAACTACGTTCGGCTTGATTCCTTGGGCAAGAGGATACGTAGGCAGTCTTTCAGATGCAGCCGATTTGGATTAGTTGATGGGGGTGAGATTGTTTGGACTCTCGTTTGAGTTCTCCTTGTTGTGGATTGAGTTCGTACTGGACACAACAAGTGAGACATTTGGATGCTTTGGTGTCGGCTCAGTTTTGAAAAAACTTCACCGAGGTGGAGAATTGTGAACCGAAGTGGACGTGGGGACCACCCACGTGAGAGAAGAGAAACCCAGCAGCTCCGTGTGAAGATTGTGAACCGAAGTGGACGTGGGGACCACCCACGTGAGAGAAGAGAAACCCAGCAGCTCCGTGTGAAGAGATTTTCCGCATGAACCTCGGAAATAGCCAGGCCCACCCGAATTTGCTATAGACTATATATATATCAACATAGTACTTATCTAGGGTTTAGTGCAAGGGCAGTTTTGTTTTGTTCTCTTTTGCGGCTGAGGCAGAGGGAAAAAGGTGCGGGAGTTTTCTTTTGGGATTTTTGGTTTTGAGCAGTCCCCTTTATTTAGGGTTTTTGTATCTCCCTTTTGAGAGTTTTGTGTGAGGGATTTGAGAGTTTGTGTGAGGGTTTTATTTGTGAGATTCTTGTGTAAACCCTATTTGTATTCTCTCCCTCTATTAGTAGATCTCCCCCCTCCTTGCCCCGTGGACGTAGGCAATTTGCCGAACCACGTTAAAATTGGTTGTACTGCTTTTGTGTGATTTGTAATAGCTTTTAGGGTCCCTCGACGCGCAGTCCTAGAGCTGACGAGAGGAAGAGCTAATATCCTACTTTGATAGGATATAGGCTTCAGATTCTTGTTCCCTTTGAGAAACAAAAATTCTTATTGCGATCTGACTCTCTTGTTGTGCTGCCGAAGTGCTGCCGAAATTTCCGCTGCGCGCAACAGATGTTTCATATCCCAAGAAGCAAATTTAATCCATTAGGCATTTTTCATAGCCTTCAATTGAGGACCATTACTAATTCTTTGCTTGGATATTAGTCTTGATTAAACATTTAATTTGAAAATTTATGAATGTTGCTACTATGTTGGGTATTAGTATTGGAAATTAAGGCATTATATTGTGATTTTGTAGTAAGATATTATTTTGCTACTATGTTGGGTATTAGTATTGGAAATTAAGGCATTATATTGTGATTTTGTAGTAAGATATTATTTATCATGATATTTTTCATGTAAATTCTATTAAGGCATTATATTGTGATTTTGTAGTAAGATATTATTTATCATGATATTTTTCATGTAAATTCTAAGAACATGTTCTTTCGCGCTTGATTACATATATTGAAAAATTATGTGTGCGGTGTGAAAAATTATGTGTGCGGTGTGCGCCTTGCATCACTCGGGGGTGCGCATCACGTTGTGCCTTGCGCGTGTGCGTGTAAAGATGCTTTGCACCCCGCATTGCGCTTCGCGCATTGATAACACTGATAGATAGTCACGAATATACTCTCAAAGGAAAATAATTCATGAAAATTCAGTTTTCTGCCAATAAAATTCATGAAAATTCAACATTTTGATGGAAGAAATGAGAATTTGAGAGAAATGGAAATATATGACCACAAAGGACCCTGATGTAGTCAGGTAAAAATCTAGGCAAGGAGAACGAGGTTGGCGAGAGAAGCTGAGTGAGATCAAAAGCTGTTTTTGAAATCAACATTGTGTTGTAGAGAATTTCATGAATGCCCCTTTTAACAGGATCATCCTAAAGGAAAAAGGTGAAAAAATGACACAACTACGGAGACTGGTAAGCATTTCCTATACTAATTGCATGTTTACACGGTCAAGGTAAAAGTTTCCACTATGAGGAAAAAACATCATCATGTTGACTTTATTCTCCTGTTCTTTGAAAGCTTTTCACTGGCAGAAACACATTCGATACATGCTCATTAACAACTTTAACAGAAAGAGTAAGAAGCTGACCTCAACTGCAATGATGAGAACAAATATAATGATGCTGGGAGATGTGGACAGCATGCTGTTTTAGATGATAACTTCATCTGAGGCTACTCCACATTGCGCCCTCTGCAGAATGAAATGCAAATTTAGTAGCGATAAATCTTAAAATCTAGCACAGAAGAGAACAAAATCATAAGAGATATATATTACCTGAGCATGCATCTCTGCAGTAGTTTGATAAGCTTTCTGGGAGAAGGAACTCATCATGAATTCTTATCACATCAGCTAACATGCTAACCAAATATTCAAGAGCAATGACTACAGTATGTGACTTTGCCTCTTCCCGTTCATTCATACTCTAGGAAAGATTTTGCAGATCCAATTTCAGAGTTAAAGAAAAAAATAGAAAAGTAAGCCGATACACGAGAAGAATATAAAAATGGAATTTAGAAATGCATGATTAAATGAATATTGAACTTATATGTTTGCAATGTGTGTGTGTGTTTTTTGGGGGAATCTTTGTTTACCATGCAGCAACTGAGTTTGAAGGAACCAGTATCTTCTAATAAAGACAACAAACTAAAAGAGGATGGCAGTAGCTAAAAAAAAAAGACCCACACAGTCATAAAACATGATATCATATCATCATAATTGAAAATATCTACAGAAGGAATACAGAAATGTAGCTATCAGTTTGGCTATCTTGAAGCAGTTGCCAAAAGTCCATAAATAACTCAGGAACTTGACCAGTTACAGATAAATGGATGAATATCTGGGCACTCGTTTGGCTGGAGCACTGGAAAAATCTGATAATACTTGGCTTTAGACTTAAAATTTAGATTAGACAGGAACAACACAAACCACATTGTTATATTTTTTATAAGTTCAAATTCCTTGAAGTCATAAAGATATACCCAGCAGACTCAAAAGACAAGTTGTTAAGTTAAAATCTAATTGGATTGCACAGTTTGTAAGAGATATGAACTTCCTGTTGGAAACTTTACTATATTAGTTCAGAAAATGGAACAACAGGTTATGAACACTAGTACTGCAGATTTTAATGAATTTCTGATGACATAACTTTATAAGAATTTAAATAGATTAGCCTGTGTACGTTGGGAGATATTATAATCTACATGGAAATTCTGTGTAATTGTCTTCTGATTCTGATATGCATAGCATCTATCTAGTATGACAAAGATGACGTGTAATAGCACCTTGCTACAGTTTTTTGTCTACTTTTAACATGGAAGATTTTTTCAAGATTTGTGAAAACAACTGGAGGTTAATGAAGTCAGCAGTAATTAACCGATATTAGCAGTATAAGCCGTCTTATCAGCTGTAGCAAGCGGAAAAGATACCTGTAATGCTTGTATCACTTTTGCAGAAGTCTAAATAAAAAGACCAGAAAATATATACTTGACAAAAATAAGTAAATAACAACCTTTAATCCAAACATTTGGGAACAATACATGTGTCCTTTTCTTTCATGGAGATCTAAGTATGTTATTTTCATATTGACATTGATGTCAAACAAATCGAGAAGGGAAGAGGAGATGCAGGAGGAGAAACAAATAATGGAAGTTTAACAATAGTTGAGGAGAAAGATTAGACAGCATGAGTGGGAAGCACCAGAACTTAACATGCCTTTCAATTGTAATGCATCCCACGTCTTGCGGGATATTATCCCAATATGTATGATTGTTCGCGGAATTTCCACTTCTTCAACCAATTGAAATAGAGTTCATCAACCCTGGAGGAGAAAAGGATTTAATATAATTTTATCTTATAAATTATAGCCTTCATAAAAAAATTCTGAGAAAATTCCCATGTCCCTACAGAGAATAAGCGAAGACATTCTCATCATCCTCAGGAGGATGCAAATTCAATTGTTCAGCAACTGCCTAATGTTTCACATATCTTTTCAATTTCAGGCTAGGATCTGTTGCTGAAGTGAAATTTATGGACAATAAGTTTCAAATCTACTAATCTACAATCAGCATCTTCTTCAATCCTCTTGCCTTTAACTCATCTTGCAACTGATCTACATGAGGCAAATGTGTTCTGATGTTATTCGGTTGCAACCTGATCAAGCACTTCTTCAAATTAACATTCCACACCGCTATGAACCC